GTATCAATATTCAATACCACAGAATCATCTTAAATCAGTCTTGATATTTTCTCCCAAGAAAATATTTTTCTTTTCTACAATAACTCACCTCCCATGAGCATCCCTGGGCTGATTCATAATTCTGGTTTTTACAACATCAGCTGGGGTCCCAAGTATGGCTGCTATCAGGCCTGAAGATATGCTATCAAAACAGTAAAACTGAGCTGTTGCCATAATTCCTATACTGCATGTGATGAACGGAAGGACCACATTAATATACAGGTCTAAAAAATGAGACCATATTGGAGCACTTGTAAACAGTGCAGTTGAAAAAACAAGCAAAAATATATTGTTCAAATTTAGCTTTTTTCCTGACACTTGGGCCTTCTTCCTCAGACTACAAATAGAAGGTTTTTTTACATGGGGTGCATGCATAATAGGTCCTCCTGGTTTGTTAATGTACAGTATATTTTCTGTACATGAAAGCTCACACACTAGCCTCTCTAAGTGGTCAATACTGGATTGCTCATTGAAATCTGTTATATCTACTTGCACAAAAATCAATCTCAAATCTGAATATCTTCACATTTAAAAAAACCACAAAACATAAGACTTCTAAATTAAAGATATTCAGGTAACACATGTTCAATTCCTCCCTGTTTTATTGTCTGCTAAAATCACTATAATTCCTTTATGTTATAGATCTTTTAATTCACAACTTTGATAGGTATTTCAACAAATCAGATCATTTTCCTAAATCTCCATCAAAATGCTAGCAGCAATGTGATTGCACAAACAATTGTGACATGACTAGATTTTACTTTAGGTACTAATCCACAGCACAGGGTCTTTTACATTTTGTTCTTCCAAAACACACACAAATAAAGTGATAGGTCACGCCTGACAAATGTAGAAGCGGCACATTCATTAAGACTTGAAATCCACCAAAAAGCTTTCAGAGTTCTGATAATTTGTCAACTTGCTATTTTGTTATGATGCTTCATCAATAGGGAATTCCATTTGAAAAAAACAGAATTTCTGAGGTACATTGTATGAAGTAGTCCATGGAGTATAAATGGTTTAAAGTGTTTTAACAGTAACATTAAGAATATATTATTCACTAAAAATGTATAATAAAAAGTCTTCTGACACTGCATGGAAACAAGCACTAATGAGGGGGGTGGGTGGAGTAGGTTCATTAGAAGAATGTTGTTTTTTTTTCATTTTTGTATTGAATTGTGTTTTGAAAAATGAATAAAAAACATGTTCACAAAGAAATTACCTTGACAATCCATGACAGATATAGTTGTCTTCCACTGATGTGTTTCTCAACAAAAAGTGTTTCATTGTGTCATATGTAGTAAGATCTGACAACAAAGAAATGATGTATTATACACTGTCCTGTGATCAGAGAGTAAGTCCTTTGCATTCTGGCCTTCCTGAAGAATGCAGTTTCTGACTTGCACAGCCTTTACACTTTAAAATTGTGAAGCTAGTCATAGACAAAGTGGAGTGGCTATTAGTACCCCTGCCTCACTAATCTTGGGTCCAGGGTTTGAATCTGCCCTGGAGCATCTTCTGTGCAGAGTTTGTCTGTTCTTTCTCAGGTTTCATCCTATCTAACTATGACATGCTGGCCATTTTAATCTGTTATCTCTAAATTTCACTTCCACCTCCACCCCCCTGCTATGATTGGTGAGACCTAGTGGGATGTCATTCACATGACAGGTTGCCCAAGAAAAGATTGATACCTCACTAGAAGATGAAAACTATGGAAAATATGTGTAAGAAACTTCTGTCACTGCGCTATGATATTTTGCCACCTGAAGTTTTTTTTTTGAAGTCTCATTTGCCAAGAAATAAAACTTTAATTAGCCAATTTGTCAGTGCAACTAGAAATATTATAGAAGGGCTTAAAGACAGAAATCAGGAAAGCAGGAAAATATGCCTTGAAGTAATAGAGGTTAATGGAGACTGACAAAATTAATCAGGATATACAGTGCATGTACATGTAGGCAAACTAAGTATACTAAGATCACACTTAGTCTACACAGAACTGAATATTATTACAGTGGAAAAACACTATACATTATGCTTTAGAATTTACAGAAATTCCTGCATGGTCATAATTTGATTGAAGCATCTGCTTTGTCCAAGGACAAATGTCATAAATGTTCTTATCCAGGACTCTCCAACACAGTTCCTGGATGGCCTTGTGTCCCCTGATTTTTATTCCAATCATTAGAAATCCATTATTCTTTCTGTATTAGATACTGTATATGCACTGTTTAGGATTTTTCTTATGGAAACATCTTATCTCTTTTAAAGCTGAAGTTACACATTACATTTGAAGGTACAGTTAACTATAAATGGTTGGACGCATTACAATCATTCAACAAATTATAAAAATTGACCAACTACTACATGTAACTTTTTACCTGTAGTACAGTTTGCAGTTTAAGACCCCTGCTCTAGGTACTGATAAAGAATTTGATCAAACATACATTGCAACACTATTCTGTATTTATTCCTGGGATTAAAATCTCATCACATTCTGGCTGTACCTCCTAAATTGACCAAGGCAGCCCTCTGTACATTTGGAACCCATCCTGCCCACAGTCCACGAATACCCCCTTCAGAAATTATCTTCACGAAGGCATGGTACACTCCGCGGATTCTGAAACAACAATAGGCCAGTCCACGTAAAGAGAGGAGTATCGAAACACAAGAGGTTCAGAGCTGATCAGACCTAAGATTGGGACATGCTAGAAAGGAACTGCTAGTTAGGTAAAACATAATAATGGCATATGACAGGAGTTAAGGGAGTGCTTGTAAAATATTGTTCCATGCATTAGGATTGGAATGTGAGACACAGTTTAGCATTTTTTGCTGTACAAAATAATACAATGTACACTCAAACATACAGTATGAGTCACAAAAATGCAGAAGGATCAAGATGATAAATGTTTTAAATAAAAAGCTCAAGACATTATTTTTTTACATACAGAAGTACTGTATGTACTGATGTTTACAGTGTGTTGAATTTATGTTTTTTCCAACAAAAACACCCCAACACACGCAACCAAAAGCAAACTGGGGTGGGGCGGTGGCTCTGTGGCTAAGGATCTGCACCTGTGGCTGGAAGGTTGCCGGTTCGTATACTGTGGCCGGTAGAGGAATCTTACCCTGTTGGGCCCCTGAGCAAGGCCCTCAACACCAAATGCTTCAGGGGTGCTGTATAATAATAATTTCTTACACTTATTCTGGACACTTTTCTGGACACTCCACTCAAAGCGTAACAGGTAACAGGTAACTCCCCTCCACCACCACCAATGTGCAGCATCCACCTGGATGATACGACGGCAGCCATAGTGCGCCAGAACGCTCACCACACATCAGCTATCAGTGGGGAAGAGAGCAGAGTAATGAAGCCGATTCATAGATGGGGATTTTTAGGAGGCCATGATTGGTAAGGGCCAATGAGAAATTTGGCCAGGACGCCGCGGTTACACCCCTACTCTTTTCGAGAAATGCCCTGGGATTTTTAATGACCACAGGAAGTCAGTACCTCGGTTTTATGTCTCATCCGAAGGACGGCACCTGTTTACAGTATAGTTAGTGTCCCTATCACTATAATGGGGCATTAGGACCCCCATGGACTGCAGGGTGAGCACCCCCTGCTGGCCCCACTAACACCTCTTCCAGGAGCAACCTTAGTTTTTCCCAGGGGGTCTCCCATCCAGGTACTGGCCCCAAGCTTCTCTCCCTGTGTGTGTGTCTCATGGAGAGCAAGCTGGGGTAAGCGAAAAGACCAATTCATAATACAAGAAATTGTATACGGCCAATAAAGTGATCTTCATTTTAAAATGGATGGTGAAAAATGTAGAACTAATGCTATATGATGACCCAGTACTGGAGAGCACATTTTAGCAGCTGGATTTCAATCTGTGAAATATCACGTGTGCCCCTGTTACCAGCCTTTGGAATTAAACAATAAGTTGGTTCAGCTATACAGTGAGCGAATGCCTCAGGAAGCAGCAGTCAGCCGCCCTGTGGACTGCAGGCCTCACCTGGGTGGTTTCCCTTCTAATCTGCGCCGTCCCTCCATCTGCATCTGAACCTTCACCAGGTCTGTCGGGCTGGCAAAGAACTGACCGATCGCACCAGCCAGCATCCCTGCCAGTACTGATTTCCTGTGAGACAAAAATGTTTTACAGGGCTTCCCCAGTGGCCTAATCTTATACTGTATTTCTAGTACACTGGTTCAAGCCCAGTCACAAGTTCAGGTCACGTCATTGGCCAACAGAAATATGGAATCCTTAAAATACGGATGCTCAATTAGCCCTAGTTTTGAATAAATGCCTGTGACAAGTATGTCAGTTCTCCAATCAGTATTAGCCCTCCTGTAAGGCACTGTAGGTTTCACAGCGTTTCAAATGCCGGATATACAGCTGATATACAGCTGGTGAATGGGTGGGCAAAGAACAGAAAGAAAAATCATTCTTAATTAAATAAAACCTCTTAATCGCCAACCATTTTACGTGCATGCTGCATGATTCTCAATTCCTACTCAGCCCAGCATTGCTCCAAAATTGTGACTATTAATTAAAAAAAGTATCACTTCAAAAAAGATTTTGCTGCAGCTCTAAGGGAGTGTAATAGGGACACAAAATTAGAAAGTGACAGTGCTCTGAAGCCTCAGACCTGGACAATTTAACACACCAGCCTATGTGACACTCTGTAACTTACCACTGGAGAATTGTTTTACTATGAAACTAGATAATGCAACCTGTCTAGAAAAAAGTAAATAATTACTTAGGTAAAAGCCACATAATATGCAACAGATCACAATTTACATAAAAGGATACATTTTGAGGTCTGTTACCTGTAGATTACCAAATACTTACTAAGTCATTTCCTCATTGCTGCCTGAGATAATGAGATTAGTCTCTTGTTCCAATAAATATATCTGTCAAGACTTTTCTGACTTAATCATTAAGTATGGAAAGCCACTGAACACCTTATAAATCCATTAACAGATTTTACACACCCTGTTCACATGTGGTCAGATATGTTTATCAGTAAAAGCATTGTCATCTACCATTTTGTTCATTACAAATTCTCAATATACTGTATTCACTAGGTTGTGCTATAAAACAACACATAAGCATATTTAAATGTGGGTAGGGTAAGTTAAAAGCTTTTGTTAAATTATAACATCATTTTTGTTGTGGTCATTATTAATTAAAATTATAGTGAAGTGCAGATCAAGTGCTGCATGAATAAATATATAATCTACAGTATGTACACTGAAATGGCTTACTTTCTTACCAAAAAGGAAAAGTGGTGTCTTCATTCCTGCCCAGCATTGACTCCCGAAGCTGTTCATAAGAAACCATCCGGACCCCAGAATACACTGAAAAGCCCCACACAACAAATTCCAAATAACTATATATAAAGTACACAAATCAGCTTTTTTTCCACTTTTGTCCACTTCATACTCCACATAAGAACATAAGAAGGATTACAAACAAGAGTTTGGAAGTTAGTAGTTAATTGATCCAATTCAATTCAACTTTCAATTCATATAAAAAGAATATATAAAGAATCCAAACACCTTATCTGACCATTTCATGAAGGAAATCAAAGTATCAGCTTCAACCACATGGCTGGATAGCATGTTTCATGCTCCCACAACCTTTTGGGTAAAGAAGTGTCTTCTACTCTTGTGTCGCAGTGTTGATTTTGAAGAAGCCAACTGCTTTGAGTTTGTCATCTTACTTGTTTCGTATGGAGTGATGACCTCTCAACTCTAAATCTAAATCCTTCTCTGTACCTCTTACTATACAACAAAGAACATCACTCAATGAATATCCATCAGATGAGCAACCATGTTGATCTGGCTAACAAACCAAACTGGTTCTATAAATATAGAAGATGCTGAAACAAACTTGAATTTGATTTTTTATAAACACCAATTGGTTCTGAAGAAAGATACAAGATGTGAAGAAGGGGTTAACTTTCTGCATGAGGACAAGACTTCTAAGTAACAGGCAAGAGTTATGGCAGGAAAGGGGGATAACTGATAAGAATTCCAGATGCCAGCTAGGAAACCCCCCAGGGAAAGAAACATAACCCTGACCATTTGGCCAAAGTCTGTGAACTGTCCGCACACTGTGACCTCCCCAATTACCATAATAATGAGCTACGTCAGAAGCTGCAGAAAAGGGATATACCATAGTAATGAGCTACGTCAGAAGCTGCAGAAAAGGGATATTACCATAATAATGAGCTACATCAGAAGTGGCAGAAGAGGGTTATATAAACTGGAAGTTTTGTACCGGCACTTTGAACAATACTTCGGTTTTGTTGTTCCTTGCGGGAACAAGACTTCAGCTTAATTGTTCCTTGCATGCAATAAACTCATCTGTTTAACGTCATCTCAGGATCCAGAACTTTTTCTGTTACAACAGTTCCATCATGTTTATTTGTTCAAAACCTTCTAACACTTCTTGACATTATCGTAAAATCCTAGAGCAATTGGGATACAGAAATCCAAAATCTAAATCTAATTGTCTGATGAAGCCCAGTTTTGAGAGGAGAGTCGGGGTCATGAAAGGTTATTTAACCACGCTTGTTTACAGTGACTATGATTAAACAAACGGATCTGCTCTCAGAATTAGAACATGAAAAGCTATGACTAAAGTAAGTGACTTTCACTACTTTTTGCACCATTTTTTACTGCTGTAAGAATGTACTGTAAATACAGTACATTAGGTTCACTTCACTTTTTGTGAACTCGCATTATATACTTCTGCATAGGCACACCGCTTTTTCTCAGCCACAACTCTCCATTGGCAGCAGGAACCTCTGTTGCAGTAGATGTATAGTACATACCCACATGTCGGTAGATGGCTGGTGTGGCCCCCTGCCACAGTCTAAACAGACCTTCCTCTCGAACAATCCCAGCAGCCGTAGACAACATTCCCCGGTATGGGGTCCCTTTGTGGCCTCCATCTCCATGGCGACAAAGTGCAGTCTCACCTTGGATCTGCAGCCGTGTCTTTGTCAGGTCAAGTGGGAAAGTGACTATTGGAGAAAAAAATGAGTCGAATTTAAACCTCCAGCAGTTATCAATGTGGACTACATCACCTACAGAGATCCTATTACTTCATTTATTGACATCTTTATTTCAAGGTCATAATACGACATTTTTTTTTTAATGGAAATGATAAATTATGCTTTTGGGTAACTGAGACTGATATATTGTAAAGTTTAAATATTTAGTAGCACTGTCAAAAAATGATGCGAATATATCTCAGTAAGGTACAAAAAGAATTATGTGAAAGATACATCACAAATCACCGATGTGAGCCTGGTCAGTACCTGGATGGGAGACCTCCCGGGAAAGCTAAGGTTGCTGCTGGAAGAGGTGTTAGTGGAGCCAATATGGGGCGCTCACTGTGAGGTCTGTGTGGGTCCTTATGCCCCAGTATAGGGACACTATACTGTAGATTGGTGTCATCCTTCGGATTAGGTGTAAAACCGAGGTTCTGACTCTCTGTGGTCATTAAAAATCCCAGGGTGCTTTTTGAAAAGAATGGAGGTGTTACACCGGCATCCTGCCCACATTTCCCCCTAGCCTTTATCAATCTATGGCCCATCTATGAACTGGCTTCATCACTCTGTTCTTCTCCCCACTGGTAGCTGTGGTGAGCGTACTGGCGCACTATGGCTGCCGTCTCATCATCCAGGTGGGTGCTGCACATTGGTGCTGGTTGAGGGGAGTCCCCATTACCTGTAAAGCGCTTTGAGTGGAATGTCGAGAAAAGCACGATATACAGTAAGTGCAAGGAATTATTATTATCACATGGAACTACAAGAAGAATGGAGTAGGATAACAGTTCTATAAACATGAACCAAACAAGAAATTAATAAAATATGCCTTTATATGTGAAATCCAGAATCAGTTTATTAAAGAGGGTTTGTGAAACCATAATTGGGATATTATTTGTGTCAATAAAAGGACACAAAATGCAGTTAATGAAAATTTTTCGTAGTTTTGTTCCGCATGTTTTATGAAGTGCACCGACAGAATACATAGGGAATATCAGAGCATACCATTAAAAAACGAAATCAAACGAAATCTGTATTTATTATCTCTCTGATGTGGTGTACTTGCACTATTAAAGACAGGTACTGTAAATTACAAAGGCTCGTGCACCGCCTTAATACAGCGTGTTGTCCTGCAGTTACTGTTCATGCTAGTTAGTGAGCAATGTCAGAATTGCAGACCTGTGAATTACTGCAGGAGTGAATTTTCTCAGCATTAACCTGACACGTTAAACTGTTATTACTGTATCTTCGTCATTGTATATCTTATTGAAAACAACAGAAATGAGTTCCTTGCCCTTGGAAAAGCAGGAACTTGTTAAACTCCGTTATATAAAGAACAACGTATAGTTACAGTACTTTTACGTATATGTAAAAGGAGCGTTTTTGAGGCACATTCCATGACTTAAGAAATATTATGTATTACTAGTTAAATTGCACTTTTTTCTCTATTAATTTATTATGCTGCTGTCTGTTCAAGATCACCAAAGCTTGATGATTAACAACGATTCTCGATGAAGTAACAAATCAGACGATATCGATTTTTTCGTTACTGTATACCTATTTCAGCAACAGCAGCCGCGCAAGCAGACAAAATAAACTTTGTCACCCGGGGCCACTTCGTAGTTACAGGTGGTTCGTTTTCTTCTGCTAACAGCACCATTTGGAAATCTTCAATTCCCTGTCTCCGTTTATGTCCACTCAAATCTTCATACAGTACGATGTTTTAACAATATAAAACTCAGTCATTTCAAGTCCTATGATATACTTCTACTAATAATTCCTAGCACCAAGTCTACTCACTGACAGACCGCTTAGATGAACTGAGCTTCCTTCGACCTTTACCTTGCGCATTATTCACCACCAGGAAGTCAGTGTTTCAGGTTGTAGTTCCAATGACTCAGAACAGTAAGTCTATTAATGAAAAGAAGGTACTGGATGAAACTACATTTCCCTACCTGCATAGTAAAGAAGGAGAACTCCGCCTTGCTTTCTGCTGGTTGGAGCAGATGAGTAGAGTGTTGGTATCCTGATGCCTCTGTTGAATAAATTAAAATGACTGTACACTAGTCACTTTATAAAAAGAATTATAGGAGCTACTTAACTGTTGCTGGGACACCTATGAGGCGCGATGGATTTTGTAATACTTTTTCTGTCCGTGTTGATAGTTTTGTTCTCCTTGTACTTTCTATACCTCCAAAGAAACCAGAACTACCCCCCAGTTATTAGAGGATGGATTCCGTGGATCGGTGCTGCCTTCGAGTTCAGCAAAGCACCACTGAATTTCATAGCTGAAGCAAGAGACAAGGTAATTTTTGTTTTTCCGAAATCATATGTGTCATTTTAAAATCTGACAAGTCTTGCTCTGCGCGAATAGAAAACACTGCAAGTATTTTGTACTGTTTAACTTTTACACTTTACAATATTACCTCATTATATATTATACCATCATAGCCTTATTATTTCAAAATTCAGTCTAATTCAACCAAACACCATCACCCAGAATGACATGAACGTGACCTGTGTATGCATTGCATTGATGAAAGTGCGATGCCCGTCTAATGTACTTAGGTATTTAATTACTTTAGTCTAATACACTTCATTTGCAATTTTTTTAAATGTCTTTGCGGTACCAGTTACCATACGTTTGATTCGTGTCCAACATAAAATATTTGTGTGAATTAAAAAAAAAACAGCTGCTTACTCCCTGCAAACTGTGCTCCAGGTAGTGTATAACATTATAACATTAATCAAGGAAAACATTTTCAGTGACTAGACACAAATCAGTCAGGTTTCATAGTCTGAAAGTCTCTGGTGATTCTGAAACAAAATGATCCATTTTTAAAAGAAGTGATATACTGTATGTCAGATTCTCAGTGCTATAGATTTCTATTTCTATCCTTGTCTTTATGAGATCATGGAAGAATTAACAAGCAGTTAAACTCTGTATTTTAGACAGAAATTGTATTTTATCTTGTACAGTATGTGTACCTGGGTGTGTCAGAGTTCACAGCCCTCAGTTTCCTCAGAAACCAGGTACATTCCCATGGGAAGCCACATTCCTCTAGGGGCAGTTGTTCCAGCCCTCTCATCCAATTAACAGGTGCTTCATTCATCAGGTCACCCTACTCAAACCCTGCTCTGCCACTGATCCTGTGCTCTGTCATTGAGCTGCTTCTGACCAAGGTAGTGCATTTCGCAAAGCTAACCTCGTCTCATGCTGAGCACCCGACCAGTAGCACGGTTCCCTGTAAGAATCCTGTATGGTGGTGCAGTCCCCGTGGCTGCATCTGCTCGGATAGTTACACTCGCCTCCCGTCCTGTCAGATCCTAATCACCATCATTCAGTATCTCCCCCCGTCCTCTTTCTGCGTGAGCAATCTCCGCCAGTCTCCAGACACCTACCCACTTCGGCTGTCTCCTTCTGCTCCTGACTTTCTCCTGAGCCCTCACTGGGCAGCTGCACTTGAAATCATCAGCCGGTCAACAGGACGAGGCTGTCTCCATCGGCTTGCCGCGTCATAACAGCATGTAGTCTAGTCACCTTCTTGGGCATGGATGCGTGACATTTACACACACGTTTTTACACACCGTGATGTCAATCTGAATTAATCAGAAACAGACTTCTCTTCAGGGCTAACCCAAATAGCCTTTATCTAAACGCCTCATGGCATATCAAAGGTTAACTTCACATGACACCAGAAGAGAAAGACAAATTAAAAATTAATCAAAAGCACAGTGTTCTTCTGTGGTAGCCAGGTAGCATTGCTCTAAACTATGGTGAAGAGGTCTGTACTGTAAGTGGATCACAAGCCGTGTCATCATATGTACACTTGCAGCCTCATGCCCTTCATAACCCCATTCCCACTTGGGTCTGCAAGGGCTTAGGGTGTCCTATTTGTAATTTGGTTTCACAGGGGTGCCTACGAGCTCCCTTGATGGCCCCTTTGTGCGCCCTTCTCACAATACCTGAAGGGAGTTACCCGAAAATCATTGCAAAATATTTGTTTACCTGTGGTGTATTTTGTATATGGAAAGACATTTCATAGTACAAAGCTTTGAAAAAACAGAGGTATTGCCAAGTTTAAATTTAGTCAAAGAATCCTTTGAAAGAATCCTGTTGAACATGAAAAAACATGTTACAGTATGTTTGTCATACTTTTTTGTTTCTGGTACAGCAACAGATGAGTAAAATGTATTTAATAGCCTTGAATAAACAAAGCAGTAATAAAGTCTTCCTTATTTCATTTATTTCTCTCATTTTCCGTAAAGCCTGCTTAACATGAATGAAAACATTGTGTCACTACATTCGTGAAAGAACTGATGAGATGAAATTCAATTTAATCAAATTAAGAAAAAAAAACTCAGCCATCCTGCACTTAACCACTGTTAAAAGAAGCAGAGCGAGAGGAGCAACAACAAAAAGCATTCTGACTGTGAGCTGTGTAACCAATGAGTAATGTCACACGAGGGTGTCCCATTACCCTTTTTTATAACAGTGCACCCTTGAATACTTGCACACATTAAGACGACACTTGCTCTACATCACAGAAGTGCAGACTTAGAGGAAGGACATACTGTAGGACTTAGTGCAGCATTTATGACACGACCATAGCGAAGGTCTCTCCTTCCCCATTCTCTGGGTCCTGCAGTACTGCAGTGTCACGATTGTAGTTCCTCCTCCTTAAGGGCGCTCCGGCTCTTTTCACTTTGGACTTATTCTGTGCACCTGCCCCTTGTTCCAGCCTCCTTCTCGCTCCCCTTAAAAGCCAGACACTCAGTCAGTTCCGGGTTCTGCATCTGATTTCCGTATCGTGCGAGCCCGGGTCCTGATGAGTCTGGCTCCGTTATGGTTTTAAGTCTTTGTTCCTGTTCCCCTTGCCGGTTCCGACCTATTTCGGATTGTGTCGTCCGCATAGGGTCCGGAAAGAACTATACGTTACATGCAGTTCTTCACCGCCATATAAGACTGCACTGTGGGGAGATGAGCAGGAAAAGGGCATCCTCATTTGAGTCTGGTTCTGACCACAGGGAAAGCTTCGTGGTTGGCCAACACTGGCAGAGAAGAATCCACAAAGAAACTAAGGAGATTCATTTCTAAGAGTCAGGGTTTCCAGGAACTCCATCCCTATGGATCTATATAATGGAACACTTGATCTGTGTTTGAGGTTTGACAAATCCAGTTGGAGAGCCATGATGAATATGTGGGATCTGTTAATGATTAACCTAAGTCAACGCTGAGGAGAAACCAGGAATTACTGTACACTAGCAAGTATCTTCCACAGGTAATGGGAAAGATCATCATCTTAAGGACTCTCAGGCAGACTAACCAGTTAGACATGGCAACAAGGTGATTTGACCTCAAGGTCATTTAACTTGTCCTGAACTTTTTCAACCATTTGGAAGGGTGACCAACTTTTTTAACCTGACAGTGCTGTTTTCAGTTGTAACTTGAGTGAAGTCCTGCCTGAGACACTGAAGGACTGTGCTGTTCTCACACATTGCCACTTTGAACAGGTCCAAAGCCTGGGTCACCATTAGCCCTACTTTGTCACAGAAAATGTTACTTTTGGCTTGCTTCATCACACATGGAGAGCTCCTTCAAAAGAGACTGTTGATTGAAATGCTTCCCACCCAGTGTAGCATGAAGGGACATCATTTGTGATGCCATAGGAAGAGTGAGAAAAAAAATACAGCACAATTAATGTAACTTTAACCTCATTCATTTAATCAGATGCGTCAATTTAGAATACTTTATCTTTTACAATGGTCAGAGGAGTACCAATTTAAACACAATGGCATTTACCAGAACAAGTTTCAGAACCAGTTCCTCCTTACAGGTACCACAGCAGCATACTACTGTATCTAAAGAAAGGAGGAAACACAAAACCACATTGCCCCAACAAACTCTATTTATACCAATCATAAACCCTAAGAACGGCCATATAAGAACGTGAAATTCTCAAGCCTTCGCCAATTATTCAATAATACAATAATATATGTAATACCTGCTGTGTCTACATACAAGGAGTAGAGGCTGTTTGATGGCCTTTAGGGGCATTTAGTCTGGAATTGTACTCACGGTTAGGATCAAATTGCATAGAAAGACATTGGGATAAATTCTTAAGCATAAAGAAAAGTGGTTCCTATTTTTTCCTCATTGAAAAGACATTTCACAAAATTCTACTTTTGTTGGAGGTTCATGCAAAGGTAGCAATATGACCTCTGATCTGAGTAACAGTAGCACTCTAAGGTTATGTTTTCTTAAAAAATACATGGTTTAATGTTTGAATATTGTAACTGAATGCAGAAATAAAGACTTGAATAATTTTAGTAGGGCTACCTGTACATATGTACTGTCATGTTTTGCAAACGCCTTAGAAATAAATAATAAAGTTAATAGCAGTAGTTGCAAATCGTAAAAATGAAGAGACCATCTGCCGTGCTACAGAATTTCTAAAATTTGGTTAGGTTTGCAGTTCTTTTTATAGTGATACTGTGATTCTGGTCAGAAGTCATTTGTCATACAGTTACACTAAGTCAATAAAGACAAGCACATTCCTCACTTGACCAGATGTTCTTTTCTGTGATGTACACTAAATAGAAAATGAATTAGGAGGTGGTGTTTTTCCTGAAACGATTGTACCCTCCATATACATAAAAAGTGATATAAGAATTGGTTAAAATCTGTAACTGTGATCATCCCAATCATTAAACATAACATTATTTCTTAAAGTACTTGGTCCATAATTAAAAAAGCAATATAAAATGTTAGGGTATCACAATATAATCTGTTATGAAAGTAATCGTTTCAAAAGTATCAATATATTGTGCCACATTTTTAGGCTAATGTAAAAAACTGATTTTGATTAGGTATGAACATAAGCCACCTTCTCATTTTCCTTATTTTATATCAGTATGGACCAGTCTTCACTATTATTGCTGCTGGAAAGCGACTTACCTTTGTAACTCTACATGAAGATTTTCAGACATTTTTTACATCGAAGGATGTGAATTTTGAGCAGGCGGTTCAAGCTCCTGTCCAGCACACAGGTATGACATTAAACTAATTAATGAGTGCCAAAGCAAAGCTTCTAGCTTTTGTATTTGGCATAAACGTTTTTATTAATCTTATGTTGATATTTTTGAAATTTCCATTTGTTGATCACCTTGGCTTTGAACTAAAACCCTCATACCAATGGATGAGGGATGAGGAGCATTTTGTTTAATTTCACCATAGTGTAAGATAAGGTTACAGCCCTTTCAGTCCAGAATTTCAGAATTTAGAGCAGCCATCTTAATTATTTAGAGCAGCAGTTCTCAGTCCTGGTACTGTAGTGCCCTTGTGTCTGCTGTTTTTTTTCCAACTGGGCCCTTAATCACCAGTGCTGTAATTGATTTGCTGGATGTTATTGATGTTTTTCCACACTCAGTTGTTGGTTCCAAAAATGGCCTCATTTGAGTACATGATGCAATCTCTCTTCAACTTGCTTATACTTGCTTCCTTGGAATTTGGTCTCTTGTCTCCGATGAAACATGTCTTAATGGGTGATGAATAGACACAGGTGAGAATGACACTGTATCTGACAACTCCCTCAGTGAGTCAGTATGTTTCATTCTGCTTCAGTCCAGTTGTTTATATTTCACCTAACAAACTTGATTGAGGGCAGTCATGAACCATACTAGTTAGCAATGCAAATATTAATAATTACAAATCTTATTCAGGTTTCTAAGAGCCAAAAGCAACTTTAGAAAAAGGCCTCAGATGGGAACTTGAAATAAAGCCTGTGACTAAGAACTCAGCTGGAGCACAAACCAGAGGACATAGGGGTTACCTAGGAACAGGATTAAGATCCACTGTACTAGGGTATTTTTAAAAACAAGGCCTAAGGGCACAAAAAAGCCAAACATGCAAGCTGATCAATTACTGGCAGCAAATAGCACTGGTCATTAAGGTTCTAGTTGGAATGAAAATCAGCAAAGGGGTACTTCAAGACCAAGATTCATGATTCTAGTTCATAATCTAATTGATAATCAGCAGAATCAGCATAGCATCTAAGGAGCTATCTGTAATTCTGAAATGAATTAGATTGGAAAGGCCATAGGCTGAGAAGCTCTCCTGGGGCCTCACAGGGCTTGCAGTTGCTTGTTAATATGAAGATACTGTGGCTGACTCAAGTCACCTAATCCAGTAGTACAGTACTTTGCTTGTTCTGCATTAATATGACTAGTCCTGGTTACAGTTAGCAAATGATACAGTTCAGGCTTCACTTGAGTTCAGGGTTCAACTTCTCCCTAAAAAATTAAACTTTTCGGAAACGTGTGTGGTCACACAATATTGTGCTGCAGTTCTGTAATCATTTTGTGTCTGTTTATGAAGTGGCTTGATGTTTTGATTCAGTTTGTCATAGAAGATGCAGCTAATGTACTGAACTCTTATGTTCAGTACATATACCTTCTCTTAAAATGTGATTTGACCCTATATGTTTCACATCCACTGACTACCACTGAATGTTATTCAAATTAAGGTTGATATTGTTATCCTTTGTGTTACCAGATTCAACTTGTAGATTTAAAAGAAAATATTCACTAGATGTCTTCTGGTTTTGATTTATCTTGAGATTTTGACATTTTATGCATATGATTAAAATACATGTAAATTTCATTTACAATCTCCTAAAACAAGATCCTCAAAACATTTAAAAACTCAGAATTTGTTATAGAATATTGAACATAATGAAAGCAAACAGAGAGGTCTGGCAGTCTGTTCATGTTTTTGTTCTTGTTTTTTTTTGTCTTGACAATTTCTTATGCTCCACTATTACAGTATATGCTCAAGCAGAGAAGAATATAATGCAAATTTAAAACTGCACACTTTAAATTGGTCTTTTATACAATGAGTACTCCCTTGTTTATATTATAATAATGCTTAGCTTAATCAAAAAAATTATTTGTTCAAAAGCATATGGTGGCCCGAAATAAAACTTGCCAACAGCACTGTCTCTCATGCCTTTTCTTCATGCCCATTGTGTTCCATTAGGATTATTGAAACTGAGACTTTATTTTTTAAATCAGAGCCAATTCACTCAATGTCATCACTATACTGCCATGATCCAGCATGGGGAATCAATCTACTGTACCATCCGATGAAGTACAGTCGCAAACAAGTGAAGAACAATCAGAGGAATATAATGTCTTGTTTTTGTCTTTTATGTAGCCTCTATAAGCAGAGACAGCTTTTTAAAGTTCCACCCTGCCTGCAATACTTTGATCAAGAGCAGACTAATCCTGTCCAACCTGCCCTTGCTGTCCAGCCAGCTGTCTGAGGCGTTTGATGAACATCTGGAGCTTCTGGGTACTGGGAGCTCTGGAGAACTGTGTGACCTTGTTAGGTAATAGCATTGATATTCTTGTCTTTGAAACTAATCTGATTCCACAAGATGAATGTTGTGAAGGACAAAAAGTTGGCAATGAATTTGAATGAAAATCAAAATTACAGAATAGTTCAAATGAGGGCTTTTTATTTTTAGTTTGCTTATTAGTCTTGTTAATTTGACTGGATTACTCTGTTAAAGTGCTTCACACCCCATTATAGTCTTGTTTATCACCACACTGAGTAATTTATGAGTGATCTGTTCTGCCTTACCAAATTTCTTGGGATGCACTGACTCACTGTAGCTGTGGGGTGTGTCTTTGACTTAATCAGAATCAACCAGATATACCAAATGGTTGCATATTACTGTATGTAATTTATGTAATGTAAAATTGATTGCAAAGGATTGTGACTCATCATTACACAGGACGTACTGTATAGTTTGAAATTCATTTTAAAAGCACATATTATGTTTTAAAAATAGGACATTATTTTCCTGATTTCCTAAATATCCTGATCACTTTCTGAATTTAAGAAAAGTACAGCCCATTAAGAGGATGTTAATCTTATATATCTTATATTGTAATATTAATTTTATGAATTGCTATCAAAATTATCGTCAAACAAAAGAGGGTCTTTGGTTATTTGTGTAGGATCCATTTAAGATTATTTGTGACAGACGACTGCTGTTTAATAGAAGCTTTAAAGAAAGTCTAGGAGGAGGTCATACCTTATTACCAAAACAAGGGCTGTCCTGAATTTGGGCTGTATTGCTAAATATTGACTTCAAAATAAAAAACAACATTTTTCCTTTCTCCACAGGAGTGCTATGTACCCTGCTGTAATGAGCAATCTTCTGGGCAAATACAATTCTCCTGCAAGCCATTCAGACTTACAGGAGTTTAAGACCATATTCCAGACATATGATGAAGGCTTTGAATATGGATCTCAGCTGCCTGGGATTTTCTTCTGGTAAGGATAACCCGGGTGTCTGAAAGTTTTTTTGGTGCATGTGTAATTGAATTTGCTGTTAGTACAAAGCTGGTCACTCTTAGCAGGTGGTTACCTGTCCACTGCCGGTACCCCAAAGGGACTTTATCTCAAGGGTTATGGACAGACCTGGATGGCTGGTGTGACTGCAGCTTTTTGTTGCAGCTCAGCACTTACACCCCAAATAATTATTTTTCCTAGTCTGGCTTTGAATGTTCTGTTTCATTGTGGAATTGTTCCTGTTCTCTGTTTTTTGAAAACTCCTTAATATGTTTGCAAGTTACATGCAAAGTTACAGATAGGTACAGTATGTGTGATGCTACTTTTATTCACACTCATATTGTTATAATAAATAGTAGTAATAAGCAACTACTGTTAATAATTCATAATTGTATTTGGTGCCTTTAACGCAATCTTACTCCAGCATTTATATTTATAGTCCTTTTATTGTAATGAACTCCTCGCTACAAAGTACCAATGTCATGGGATTAGGATTAGGATGTACAGGAGCTCAGAGGCCCAAGACTTTTCATTCTCCAGAATTAAAAAAATCCATTAAAAATGTCGACCTTCCTATTTTGTTCTGCAGGAAGTGGGCAAAATCAAAACAGTGGCTCCTTTCCCTTCTGGGCAAAATGATTCTTAAGGCAGAATCAAGCATCCCTGCAGAAAAAAGCTCTAAGGTCAGACCTACATCAATAGGCTCTAACCTGCATTTGTACCATTTCCTCCTACCCCTTTCCAATATTTCTGTCACTTATAATACTATGAACTAATTCACAATTGCAAATATCACATTCCTAATATATTTCAATATTGACACATTATTGTAGCATTTTGCAGTTAATGATAACAAACATTGTGCCTTTGTTTGAACTCTCTTTATTAAATTTATTTTTACACATCAGGCAATGAAACCATAATATAATTATTATATCATTTCATTATGTCAAGCTAATATAGTACATAGTACAATTTTCTTCAGAATAGAATGCAGTTTCCTCCTCTGATGCTTGGCTTTCAGTGTAAACTGCATGACTGTATCTGTCAAAAACTGTTGCAACTTTTCCCATGATGCCAAATCTGTTCCAGATCTTGTTAAAGGTCCCTTTTTCCAAGTATTTATAATAATTGCTCACATTAAGAATCTTTAAAGGATCTCAAAGTATTTCACCTCTATAGGATGACATCCACCTGACATATATGACAGTAGTGCTGCTTCACAACAGATCAGGTTCAGAAGTGAGAAACAATTCCATCAATTGAATTAAAGGGAAAAATTTAGGGTTTTTACCAGTCCATTGGGTTTACAATTCTGGTGCAAAGACATTGATTCACCAACTTCATTACAGCAGCAACTTGGTTTTTCTTGGAGGTCTCTAACTGACAACATGTCCTTCTGGAACCAGACTGGATGTCTCAAACTTTAAAACAACACAAGCTGCAAAATTAAAAGCAGGTTTCCAGTTCCTTTGTATTAACACCCCTTAGTTTCTCTGTTATACTCCCTTCTCCATGAATGATTCAAATGTCCTTATTGTTAGTCTGGGCATTTTGTCCATGTTATCCATGATATCCATGTTACACTTATCTTCCTTGCAAATAATTCCTATGGCTTTATTTTTTTCTGTGCTAATAATGTGATTTTAGTCACTATTGTGTCCGGAAAAGTGTCCAGAAAAGCACTAAATAAGTGAAAGGAATTCTTAATTATCATTATTGAAATACTTCACATTTTTGTTATGTATTTTTCTCTTCCTTCTTTTAATTGTGCTTTTTAAAAAAAATGCTATAGTTAACTCAGCTAAGATGACAATGACAACAAACAGTTTTTGTAAACAGTAAAATCCAACTGGAGTTTAAAGTCTTGTTTTAAAGCAGTGACGGGTTTTAGTTCTTAAATTCATTTATTTTTACAGACGTTGCTCCAACATCTTGTAACCACAATCACTGATAGATATCTCCCAAATTATGGGTTACTCATGCTTTGGGCATCACTGGCTAATGCAATTCCGGTAAGTTCCAGTCAGGTGAACTTGTTTGGAGCTGCAGTGTGGGAAGTGTTTTGTATTACTGCCCCGCAGTGCTGGTTCAATTCCAGACCTGTTCTCCCTGTGTTTGTGTGTTTTTTTGCCCCGTACTCTGTTTTCTACCTACAGTCCAAAGATAAATTGGAAAGTTAATTGGCTTCCAGGAAAATTGGCCCTGGTGTGAGTGTGTTTATGCCTGTGCGTGCCCTGTGATTTTTCCATCCAGGGTATATTCTGCCTTACATCTGTTGCTTGTCCAGATAAGCTTTGGCTTCATTGCACCCCTCAATTGAGTTAAGCGGATAGAAAATACATGGATGTATGGGCTTATTAAGAAGCATAATCTATAATTATCAATTGTTGATCAAGTCAGTTTAGCTACAACTTTCACACTTTGGTGCATTGTCCAGACATCCTCCTCCTGCTGGTGCTCTGGAAGTTGATTGGAAAGCTAAACCATATGTACGGTTCTTGGGGTTTCCGCCCTTGCCGCTCCTGCCCTGCCAGTTCATCCCTCGCTGTCTGGGTGTGAGCTGGGGTCTCCGGCATCACACAACAGGGAACTTGCCAGCTGAGCTAAAGGAGAACTTCCCCAGCCCGGGCAGCTGAGATCCCTGTTATATGCAGGGGCGTATTCTTTACACATACGAAACAGACTTTCAATCACATTGGAAAATCACTGTGGCTTGGCAAGCTGAAATATATCTCAGGTGACCCAAAGAGCAATCTGCCTGTTCCCATAACAACAAAGTTGGGCAGAGTTTCAAAGCCACCGGCCCATAATTAAATGGCCGGACCTTAGTACTGTGAGGCTATTTTATCCCGCTTTGCCGATATTGCAGCGCTCGGTCTTAGCCTTGGCTCTGTGATCTGGCGATTGTCTCCCCTGTGCTTATGCAGATTTTCCCAGTGCTTTGCATGTCCTCCAATGCTTAGTAATCCTATCCCGTGGGGCTTGACCCACTGCTATGTTTCATAACCCTGATTCCTGGATTCTCCTTCGGCTTTGTTTTGTGTCCCGTGTTTGACCCTGACCTCCCTGACCGTGGTTTTCATCTCTCCAGTGCTTTGACCTCCCGCTTGCTCCACCGTTTTGCCTGAATTCTCCCTCAGAGCTTTTGCCTGTTTTCCACTGCAGCTCCTCTGCGGGGAGGCCTGACTGCGCAGTGCCGTTTCCCCGGCTTGCTTCACTGGCTTGCCCTGTTTCAGCCGCCTATCTGCTTGCCCCTGCAGCCTCATTGTCTCTCACCACCATCCCTGAGCTCTGCACCATCCTCCTCCTGCGAAAGGATCCTTTCTCCAATATGGACCGCTGTCCCCTTTAGTTGTGTTAAGTGTTCCATTACACGGTATTGTTTGGCTAGTTTCTCCCCAGTGCTTAACCATTTGGTTAGCCAAAGCTAGAGGCCTGGTTTGAATGAGCCATGTCTGGTTTGGGGCCTGGCCTGCAGTCAGTAGAGAATACTTATTTGGCCACCGTTGGTCTTCTATGGAAGTGTCTCCCAGCCCTTTTCCTGGAAAACTGTTGTCTGTTGGGTTTTGTTCCAGCCGAGCTCCAAAGCTCATCAGTGCTAATTCCTGACCTTTACTGATCTGCCTGTTTATTCAGACGTTTGGTTAACTTGTTTCTGCAGTCCTGAGTTTAAAAAGGTCAGCTTCGGACCTGGAGGATACTGTTTCCAGCAGCTTCGACACATTCTGTAGAAGTTCCTTACCTTTAATTACCTCAACTTGCTCACCTTTAATTCTGGCTCAACAGCTCTCAGTAGGTGATCGATTTGTGATTAACTGGCACAGACAGGGATGTTGCAAGGGCATCACAAACAACGTAACAAAAAATCAAAACTGAAGAGTTTTGAAGAGTCCATAACAAGCAACACGTTGGAAGGTGTTCAGGAGGAAGAGGTGTCACAGGCTCTTCTCAGATTTAGAAGTAGAAGAGGTGGATTAGAGGAAGGGAAGGAAGAGGAAGGTGCCAGAATGTTTCTGATTCCCCTCACTCTGAAATATGGTACCTTCTGTTCTCTTGAAAGAAAGCAGCTACAAATTAAAATAAAACCATGGCCTAAATGAAATTGCTTCAGACAACTGGCTTTCCAGTAACTTGTTTACTCAGTTTCTGGAAAGAAAAAAAAAGTAACAAGATCAGATATTGGGACAGGGTAGATACCGGTTAAAATTCTAATTTGGCTTTTAAGAGCCGAAAGCAAATTTTAAAATAGGTCCCAAACACAAAAATGAAATCAGTTTGCCTGTGATCAAGAGCTCAGGAAGAGTAAAAACCAGACAGTGTTACTCCAGGACAAGGGTTGAGAACCATGTACCCATGGAAAAGTAACACCAGTGGAGCGGAATTTCAATAATTTGTGTTTCTTTAATGTACTATGTTGCACCATGAAGAGAAAAAAGGTTTCGATGCCCACTGTCAGGTTAATTTCCTTTTATTATTTCACTTTGATTTGGAAGATACTACAGTAGGTCACAAATTTATTTCCAATATTTTTATGTATTGAGTTATTTGCTGTTGAATTTGAGTACTTAAATAGTTACTATTACAGTCTTTCCCTTTATCAAGTAAAGGGTTATGTTGATATGTTTCTATTTCTGTCATGTTTTTGTTTGATCTAGATCTCCTTCTGGTCACTTGCCTTTATTCTGTCCAAGCCTTCAGTGTATCAGACTGTCATGGAAGAGATTGCAGTTGCCTTTAATGGGAAAGGTACAGATTTCCGCTTGTACTGAGTGAAACATGTAACCAAATGAAGCATAAATCTCCAGCCCGTTATGGGGTAGGGAGCTGTTACTGTAGTTTGTTTCATCTTCACATTCCCGGTTATTTTGTTGTACAGTATGACATTTCAATTTTGTTCCAGCAGATGGCACTTGATTCTCACAAAGAATCTTGCCTGTTTGAATTGGAGCTAGTAGGCAATTCAATTTTTGCCATGTTCAATATTAGTAGGCAGTTGAATGTTTTTGTTATAGGAGATTTTATTTTCAATCTAAGGGTAATACTTGTTTAAAAATTTTATCATAACAGAATAGCTTCACCATTGTATTTTTGCTGTAGTGTAGTACAGTAAAGCACAATCACAAATAAGAAAAATGATCTTCTCATCGGCAGATTAATAATAAATACAATAATAAATAATCATTACACCTGTTCAGATCTTTATGGACACTCAGCTCAAAGCACCTTACAACTAATGGGGACTCCTCTCCCAAACCACCAACGTGCAGCATCTACCTGGATGATGTGACGGCAGCCCAAGTGCGCCAGAACGCTCTCCACACATCAGCTATCAGTGGGGAGGAGAACAGAGTGATGAAGCCAGATCAGAGATGGGGATTATTAGAGTCCATGATTGTTAAAAACCGGGGGGAAATTTGGCCAGGACACAGGGGTTAATACCCTACTCTTTTCTAGAAGAACCCTGGATTTTTTAATGACCATGGAGAGTCAGGACCTCAGTTTTATGTCTCATCTGAAGTATGGTGCCTTTTTACAATATAGTGTCCCCGTCACTATACAGGGGCATTAGGACCCACACAGACTGCAGGGTGAGTTTCCCCTACTGGTCCTACTATCACCTCTTTCAGCAGCAACCTTAGTTTTTCCCAGGAGGTCTCCCATCCAGGTACCGACCAGGCTCACACCAGCCTAACTTCAGTGGGCTACCAATTGTGAGCTGCAGGGTAATATGTCGGCTGGCAAAAAAAAACAAAGCACTGGGCCATCATGGTGCCCCCTGAACCTAATTCCCACCCTAGAAGTCCTTTCTTTAGTCCTCCTGGTTACACATTACAAACCTAAATCAAAGTGTTCAAGTTTTATTAGCAGCTCTCCTAGAATGTTAAAAGTCATAATTGATTGTATTTAATAGTACTTGAATAGTACTAGAAAATGTTGCTAATACATACAGTACATTAACACTTTACCTCTGAGATACTGGTTCCACTTTGGCTGAGGGGAATTCAGCTTTTTAGCTTTTTGCATTGCTTCCTTACATTTAATCTGATCGACCATTTGTGTGGTTGGGCTTGAAAGAAAAGATATCTTCCTTTCTACTAAAATGTGAATAACATGTGTTTAAAAAAAACACAAATAACTGTAAATCTCACAAAACCTGACAAAAAGCAACTGCAATTAAGCCTCAGTGAAGTAAGAAATTTTATTCTATTACAGACAGAATGAGATTGTGGTAGATTTGTACCAATTCAGGGTCATGGAGGAGCTGGTAGCCTATTCCAACAGGTGCAAGTCAGGACCCTGGACAGGATGTCACTCCATCAAAGGACATACAGCCCCCAACACTCATACCAGGGGCAATCTTCACAGGAATCAATTAACTTGTGGGAGGAAAACAGCACCAAGAGGAAACCCACACAAAGTCTACACAGATACTATAGTACCCAGTTCTGGAGTTGAACCCAGGGCTCCAGCACTGTGATACAGCAGTGCACACCATTGAACCACCATGCCACCTGTCCTGAAAGTGATCAATTTCAGATCAGGTGTTGAACTGTTTTAATGTGATTTTCTTTCACAGACAAAAGGAAGACAACTGTGTCCCAGGAGGAGCTGAAGCAGCTTCCATTCCTGAAGCAGTGTGTTCTGGAAGCAATCCGTCTAAGGGCCCCAGGTGCCATAACCAGAATGGTGGTTCGGCCACTTCAGATTCAAGTACAGTTGCTTTCACATTTTTAAATCACTTACAGTATAAAATTTCCTTCCAGCACAGAGAAGCAGGACCTACATTACACGAAATATCTTTTACTTTATTGAACGCATGCACTAAAGAGAAATACCCAAAGGCTTGCTTACTATTACAACTTACTTGTCCCGGTGACAGAGTGCACAATGATACAGTTCATACAGTATGTTTATAGAGAAAAGGTTGAAATGTATGAATTACAGTATTATACCCCTGTCCAGTGTTTAAAGCAAAATGATTCTTTTAGAAGTAATTCTTAGCAAACAGTGTTGGTTTAATAGAATATTGTGAAAACATTTTTTAAAAATAAAAAGCAATGTTTTTTATTAGAATGCCTTCCTATTTTACTAGCTACTGACCTGTTTACAAATAACTGTTATTGTAGGAGGTTTCTGATACAAGTGAGAATGTGGATGTTCTGGAGGTGAGAGCTACACCCAGAAAATTCTTTGACCACATCTCTGTGTAAAAAGTGGTCCCTGTGCCAGGCTAAGGTACTGTGGAAGAGAATGTCAGAACTGGGTAACCAGAATAACTTTAAACCTCAGCACCTTTCTCAAGCAATATGTCAGTGTGCAAAGAGATGTGGGGCTCAAAGTAGTTTTAAATTTATAGACTTGTGCATCCCGTTTGTGTCGCCATCTATGCAAGGCCTTAGCTGGACTCCAGGTCCACTGGACCGGGCTAGCTGGAATCCAGGTCTGAACTTTTCCTAGAAGCAGTCTACCAAGGACTTTTTCCTTCTGTCTTTCCTCTTACAAGACAAAAGTCATTGTTTCTATAGGCATATTTCTGTATCACAGTAAAAATATGACCTACCATGCAAGGAAGAATGTGACTGAATGCCAATTGCTGTTCTTTACATACTGCACAGAGAAAGTCACCCAGGAGCTGTTGTGTCTGCCTTTGCCAAACCTGACCTGACTCGCTGCTGGAAGAAATATCCAGAAGTGGGAATAAGGATAAACCTTACTTCATATCCAGGCACTACTAGAACGTTGCCACTCCAGCCTATACATTTGTCTTTAAAACAAAACTGTGCAACTCACTCCAAACTTGCACATACTGTATCTTTCTTAGAAATTTAGGAGGAAAGTTGTGGAATTCAATAAGAAATTTTTCATGGGGATAATTCACCTACAGATTCAGATCAAATAATGAGTATAGTACCAATAATAATTCGTAATGGGTAATGAGAATCTGGAGTCAATGACTGCTGCTGTTGTTAGTTGAAACCAGTGTCAATGAAGACTTAGTGTGCCGTACTTCTCAGTGAATGTTGGGCTTTATACTGGGGTTCCTCTGTCTCGATTCTTGAAATCCCATTGTCTTTGGCGTTGTGTTCCGGGAGAGCACTAAAATACATAAAAGACGTAATTACTTATTATATCCCTTGGGTTGTTTCATAAAAATATAAGTGAATAAGGAAAGTTACAAATGTGAAGAATCCATCATGCTCTTTGCTTGTTAGTATCTTATTTATTCAAGTATTTTCTCTTTGATTTCTTGGATTTTTCTCAGCTTGTTCCAGACTCCCACAACCCCTTGTGTGAAGAAGGGCCTCATGTTTGCCCTCCTAAATGTGCTTTCTCATAATTTCCACTTTTGCCCATGCGTCCTTGTTTCACTTTCATGGGTCCTGAGCAAGAAATAATCCACTGACTTTACTTTCTCAATATCTCTGAAGATTGAGTACCTGTCAATTCACATTTTTCAGCAATTGGATGTTTTATGGTATTTATATAAATTTATAGGCAACTTATATATACAGTAGCAATATATGTAAAATGTGTTTGTTAAAATATATAGGTTCTACAATTCTAATAATCAAGACACAATAAAGCAAGGGATTTTGATTGATATTTCAGTGATGTTTTTTTCTGTTTTTTCCCTTTTCCCTTTCCTTTTTCTAGAGGTAAAAATAGAGCAATTATACTGTTCATCACATATTATTTGGAATTACAGTGTAGGCTCTTCTATTGCATTGGGGAGTTGGCATCTGTATTGTGTAAATTACATCTTAAAATTAAATTTTATTCACAGTCCACTCAATTTGTTTGCCTTGTTTTCAGAATTATACCATCCCAGCAGGAGACATGTTAATGCTGTCACCATTTTGGGCTCACAGGAATCCCGAGTTCTTTCCCGAACCAGAGGAATACAAGCCTGTAAGTATGTTTGACTTACCCTTATCTGCCTATTGGTGCCAATCACTGTTAACGCTGGAGGATCCACCACAGATAAAAAGGTGAACAACATGGATCACCTCAGGTCTGTGGCTCTAGCTGGACTAGAAGTAGACAAGGGGCGAGAGACATACTGTACAGTAGCTAGTCAGAGACATTCCTGTCATTAGAAACTCCAGTACTTCCTACTGCATTTGGCTGCCATTCATGTTCAAGTACATTTTAGTGTGAAACACAATCCAGAGGGCACAAGTGGAAAATAAAACCAAAAACTGGAAGCACTTCTTTAACTAAAGCCCTGTAGTACTATGGAACATACTGGGTGAGATCCTTTAATTGGATCAATTAACTACGAATTACCAAATGAGCTAGAAAGTCAAAATGGCCTCCTCTCCTCTCGTTTTTTATGTTCTTACGTGTTCCCAAGGATGGAGAAGCTGCTGTCAAATCTGTTTTAAGCCTGCCTCTCTCATCAGTCAAACCTTCTGCAGGAAGGCTTTTCTTGTCTTCGCTGGGGCAATATTTCAATATATTGAAATATTGCCTTAATTGAATTGAATATTTTGTGTTCTAAAAATTCTTAATACAATTATTCTTATTCTTTCTGTAGTTGAAATGAGGCTTTATTGTAACATGTTAAAGTTTTTTTTTGTTTATTTGTCTGATAATATTAGCCTTGATAGTAGCATTTGGGCATATTTCTGATTTAAACTACATTTCAGCTGATTTTTGTTATAATTATTGTCGCTAGGCTTTATTACTTTGCTGCTCTAACTGTTCAAAATGATGGTATGATAAAGAATGTCTTAAACGAACAGAGAAGTGAATTTTCTGTTTTTAAATCATTTTTAAATTAGAAACATAATGGATATGTGAAAGTGATCCAATATCATTTATAAAAGAACAAGTAAAGGTTATTTCCACATTACAAAGGAGAAAAAAAGAAACACAACATTTCTTCTTTTGTTGAGTTTCTTCTTTCTGTTTTTCAGCGTGGAATTAACCTTAGCCTAATCTTGAACCACTTCAATCGTTTATAAAGGCTTCTCTGGGTTCCCTAAATAAACTTTCTTACAGTTATGTTGTCATCATAATCTACAGAAGATTGACTAAAAATCTAAAAGTTAGGATATACCTAAGTCCTTGTGACTGACGGCACTGACAATTCAGAGAACATTCCAGATCTTTTCTTTTCAATAATCATTCCCTGGCCTCTACTTTGCCTCCTATTTTATAATTACTTTAATTAGTTTCATATTGCCAAGATCCCACTTGCCATTTGAAGGCCATAAATAGATTTAGGCTCCCTGACTGTGTTATGATGCAAATTTAATAAAAGTCTCTGCTGTGTGATAGAATAACATGATGCTTACCTTCAGAAATTTTCATTTACAATTTATGTGTGGGGAATTGATAATAGTGCTTTTGAATGTGTGTTTATTACCACAAAAATGGTCTGTGTGCTTTTCAAATACTTATTTTGTCAGTTTTATTCACTGTAAATGGAAGATATTATTGTCAGGTAATAAGCAGATGATAGTGACGATAGAGACTGTAAGTCTAGAACTACATATACATTTCTCTGTAATTATCTTTATTTGAAATGGAAGTCATTATTTTGAAAAGAAGTCAGAAAATATGTGTTCTTTCACATGCTTAGTTTCACCTCAGATAGGTTATATGAAAAATTTTAAATTTTGGTTTTGACAACAGCATTTAGTATCATACTCTTAGTATCAAATTAACATGGTTGAAGAACCAGCTCAAACCCCCAGTAGCTGCAGCAGTAAAATAACAGTACATTCAACAAAGGTCTGGTTCAAAAGTTCTAACTTTTCTTCCCACAGGAACGGTGGAAGAAGGCCGATTTAGAAAAGAATGTTTTCCTGGAAGGCTTTGTGGCATTTGGAGGAGGCAAATACCAGTGCCCAGGAAGGTTAGGGAAATAACCTTTTCTATTTTTCCAGATAACATAAGGCACCCTTTACTTTTATTATTGTGCATTTACGTACATTGAATTACATTGGAAAGATGTAGTCTTATTAGCTTGATCCAAATAAATGTACACTAATGAACAGGAATTCAGATTTATCAGCCTTGAGCCATACTTCAAACTATTTGTGAAAACTGTGCAAATAGCTCTTTAGTGTTCTGGTTCAAATAGTTGGTAAAGAATTCCCACATTATGTTTAGACAGCACATTTAAATCGAAAATGTCTGCCTTCATTTTCATTGTTATATTCAATGCATCTTCTGAGAATGACCACCTTGTTCTCTACTCTTTCTAGTGTTTCCAGCATATTTTCTGAGCATGTTTATTTCTCATTGTCATTCAGTACTCTGCTCACATAATAATTGAATGCTTTTACTTGATTTGATATTCCACCATAAGAGAACTAGCCTTGTAAGTTGATGTGGTACATTTGAAAAGATGGTGTTAAGGAATTAGCTAGAGAACAAGATGATTCATTTGGCCTCAGACTCTGAATCATGGTGTGGCACCCCAAGGGGCCCCAATTACATTGCTGAATGGGCTTCCTTTTGGAGTTTTGTGCAATGAAACATCGGTTTTGGTTCAGCTTCTCCTCGGAACTGGCTTGGTGCTTCTTAACCTGTGTAAATATTTGTGATGTATTAAATCTGCCTTTAGCTATTATGGACCGTGATGGTGTGATTTTGTGAAGCTGTGTCTGTGGCCTGCCAGCTCTTTCTCCTTTATCTCTAGCGACCTTTTTGATAACAACACTGAGTGCTGAGTTGTTGTAGACTAGTTTCCAGGCTTTCTGTGACACGGAGCGTTTAGTGCAAGCGCCACAGCGGGAGTGTGAGTGAGGAGTGGAAAAGGAGTATGATTATTAGCTGCCATCACTAAGACTGGGACCTGTCAGCATTATGAGCTGCCATAACCAACAAGCCCAGCTTTAATTATATCAAAACATCATTCCAGTTCTCAAACACAAGTTCCAAAGGTGATGCTTTCTTTAAAAGTTGCGGCATAATTCAATTCAACTTTATTGTCATTAAACTTACACAGGTGCATAGTATAATGAAAAGTGTTTCTCATTAGTCACTCAGGTGCATTATATAAATAGGACAGAAGATAAGACAATAGACAGTAACACAATAGCAAAAACAGTAACATGTAATCAGTGTTTTGAGTAAATAACGTGACAAAAAACATAAGAATAACGAACAAAAAGCATCATTGTTTGAGAGCTAATGAAGCCTCTGCGTCCATGCGCGCCGCCATGGATTCATAACACCTTCATAACCGCTACACATTAAACCAAGTGCTAGAAATGATGCTAAAGCAAATACAGTATCATAACCTCTTATGCACATATTATGTAATTTGCATATGTCCTTACAAATCGTTATGCACGTGATTGTAACATCTTGCGCAGCAGTTATGAGGAGATTTTGAAGCCATGATTTGGCTATGTTAAAATAAAGTGTTACAGTTCCAAACAACTACCCGATAGCTTTCTATTGGGTAGAATCAAAACAGATGAAAAATGGGCTCCAAATTGTGTGATTGAGTTAATACACAGCATAGCACACCTTACTATCTGAATAGTTACACTCCTTCTGAGGTATGATCTATTGGACACTCACAACCCTTTAAGTTTTGACCCCTGACTGTTCTGAAAACATGTTTTTATCCATTTTTATCTAGCCTGAGATCCTAAAAATTGAACAAGACATTAAAATATCCTTTCCCTCCTCATTGAAGCAAAGACAAGGTCAGAACTTGTTTCTCTGTGAGGTCAGTACTGACTTCATTGATGTCTATCGCCTGGAGTTACTGGACAGTGTGGTTTTGATTTTCATCAGCAGTACTGTCTCCGTATTTCATACAGGCTTGGCTGAGATAAGCTGCATTTGAAAAGCCTGTATTGTTCCTAATGGGCTCTGAGTCATCCCTTTGCAGTTACTGATGATCATAAACCAAGCTAATTATTAAATATTTCATTTCTCAGGCAGTGTTTAAATAAAAGCGGTGTAATTAGTTACTGAAAGGCCAGTTTTAATAGACTGCAATATTACAGTATAAGATCGATTTAAGTCATCAAAATATTGTGGTGTGCTTACTAATGGAAAACTTGTTCCTAATAGCCTTGCCATTATATTGGAAACTGATTTTTTCCTTTTAACTCACAAAAAGGTTTTATGTCAAGGGCCTTTTCAGTCTTGTCTGTGAGTACAAATCTTTTCAACAGATACTGATCAGCTGTTGCCCAGCAATTCAAAGATAGAGCTTAAAGATGTGAGTTTATTTTTATCTCCTACTAGCGATGACTGGTTTATATTAATAACACACCAAAAGATTTTGTTTTAACTAAGTGATATTCGAAATTGCAACACATGTATAAAACGTTATAATATAGACAGTATATTGTATAACATATTGTATGTAACAATTACATATTCAAACCCAAAAATATCCAGACATAACAACTGTATGGTTTGTGTATGAAATGGTGGACATGTGACTAAAGGGGGGATTGAAGGTAGAGGTTGAAACCGTTGCCTATACCTGAAGAGCTGTTTGTGGGATTTAACCAGAACTTGTTAGCCTCATTCTGTCTTTCTCTTCTGATCCCTAACTTTGTTTCTGACTGCAGTTCACAGCCTAAGTGCTCTGCACCAGTTGCCCTTGAATGTTAATCGAAGGTTCCACTGGGGCTGTGTTGCTGACATCATCACAGACCCCTGGGATTGCTCAGCCAAGGGCAGCATGACGTTAATAGTCAGAGATCATGACCAGGGGAAAATTCCCAGCAACAGCGCCACAGTTACCGATGATAACTGCAGGCCTGGATGGTGGACCCCTCTCCCTATAAATACCATAGTCTTCTACTCAAATGTTGTTGTGCTCTTTTTAGATGTGTGTGGTCCTTGTGGGAATGTGACATCCCATGCAGTCTGTAGCACACATATTGAAATGGATAAAGAAATGAGAGCAGAATAGTGAATACATACAGTATAACTGCATTATATTGTTTTTTAGCAGATGGCTATCTCCAGGATGATTAATACAAAAAATTTGGAAGTCAGCATAATACAGTAAACTGTACAGGTACACTGGTTAGCAGTGCTGCCTCTTAGCCATGGGGGCCTGAGTTTCAGTTCTGGACCTGGAGTATTATCTGTGTGGAGTTTGCATGTTCTCATCATGTTCATGTGAACTTCCTACAGGTGCTCTGGTTTCTTCCCACAAGCTAAAAACATACCGGTAGGCTAATTGGCTTCTGGAAACTTTGTCCTAGGTTTGAGTGTGTGTGTGTGTTTTAGTGTCTGCCCTGTGAATCCCACTCAGATTGAAGTCTGCCTTATTCCTATTGCTTGACAGGATAAGCTCCTGCTCCCTTGTAAACCTGAATTGGAAAAAGCGATTAATAATGAATGGATTACACAGTAACAATACATGTACGTTTATATATCATTATCAGCAGCCTCAGCCTTTGTACAGTAAGTGTCCAACTTTCCTGATTCGTGAGAAAGCTTCCAGCAAAAGTGTTCATTCCTATTGCTTTCTTGCAAGAGGTTATCTTTGTGGTTGTTTTTTTTATGTGTGGGCCTCTTCGGACCTACTCTGGCAATTTGCTTTCCATAGATGTCTGGTCTTCTCAAAATGTTTCTACCATGCTGCCACTTTACTCAACAGCACCCAAATCGGAGAAACCTCTTTATTTTGAGGTCAGAGTCAGATTTATTCACAAAATAATGGCTGGAGAGGAAAATAGAAGCTCTTTGTTGATGCCATTTGTACTGTTGTCCATGTTTCCTTTTGTATTTCCACATTAGGCTTTTTTTCATGTTTTGATCTGATTAGAATAAAGGAGGCTATATTTATATATTAGTTATACAGGACTTATTGAATGGTAATTAAGATGGTCTAAAGAACTGAATATTATCTTTGTTTACTCCAGTTACTCATGGTTTCTTAGCATACTCAGATGGAGCAACGGTAGGTCAAACTACCATTTAAATGATATTTGTAGGAAATTGGGGATTTCAAACTGAGTAGGTATGACATGAAAAATAACAAAATTTATATTCCATAAATGTCAAATGACCAAAATGTCAGAGATGTCATAGAACATACTAGAGGGGTGTGGCACGTATAGAAAACAACAACTCTTGAAAACCATGTGATATACAGTAGATATTGGTATTAAAACTGTAAAGATGTTCACAAAGGGGTGAATAATTCTAGGTGTTAGTTCCAAGAGCAATGCAGCCTTACTAAGATGTGTTAGAAGTGTGTGGATATGCAAGTGGACTGTGAAAAATGGTGAAGTGTCTTGGGTAGATAATTCACAAGGTACTTTATATTGTGACTTACCCTTGTGACTAGGGCAACACATTGGGAAGCATAACACTATATTTTTAGAAGCCTTACTACTTCCATTTTAAATGTCAAAACCTTCAGTCACAGCTCAGTGCTGCTTATTTTTTTTCTTTGAATTTCCATGCCTTTTGCTTACAAGGGAAATAGAAATGTTCTTGCTCTTAGATATCAACCCTTTAAAAGGAAATACTAAAGCAAATAACCATGTGTCCTTTTTTGCACATTAATATCTATTTTAATCCAACCTCAGAAGCTGGTATCACTTTTACAGGCTTTATACTCTGTTGAAACATTAAAACATTAGCACTTTCCATTTAGGTGCTGTCACTGGAGTAGCACAAAAATATATGCACTAGCATTGTTGCTGTAAGCTCATGTATTTCATTTTATATGCAAGAAGTCACTTTAATTTGATTTGGATTATTTTAGGAGCTTGTCTGTCTGAGTCACTGACACAGTACCACTGGGTGACTCATTGCCACTATTTTCAGTCATCTGCTGTTTCAGCATCTAGCAGCATTGTTTGTGTGTAAGATTGCATCCTTGACAAACCAATTCTAAAATTGTGTATTCATACAAAACAAGCAGCATTCTAACCTTCTCCATTTACTTTGAAAGCCATGGGAGGCTGAGTTTTAGAATTCTTCATGTTATGTCGAGGGATGCGGAAACAAGCACTTGATGACGTTAGTTATTTCCTCAGAATGTTTTTGCTCTTCCAAAATGTTAACATTTTTCATTTGCAGAGGGGCAGCTCAGGTGTTTTCGATCAACATTTATCAGACAACGTCTTTAGCACTGAGATTTCGTGCTCATCCATCATGATGAGTATGTAGCTCAAGTGTGGATTTTCTTACTTATCCAATTCAGTAACTTGACATTTTATTTGCAAGCTGTGATTTGACTGCTAGACTTGAACGTGTAGTCTTTGGCCCTCATGTCCTTGGCTCAGTGGAAAATTACATTTTAAAAAAAAAGCTGCTTCCTTTGGTGATATGATCCACTTAATCACACAGTCCAAAGGTATGAGGTCTGGGTTAACTGGAATCTGCACATTGCCCTCTCATATGTGTGTGTGCCCTGCAATGCAGTGCCGTGCCATCCAGGCTGTGCCCAGTGCCTGCTGAATTAGGATTAATCTCACTACAGCTACCTCTAAGGATAAGGGAGTTATTCCCTTTTATCGCAGCAAGTGAAACAAGTGAAACTGTCAGTCTTGGGGCTCAGTCTGCTCAATGCTTTTCATTTTGTCAGCAGACATAATCTATTGCTTAGTGAACTGTCAGCAGACATAATCTATAGAGGTGGTCTCCAGTGTCTGGTTAACACCTAAAGCATCCAGGTGGATGCTGTACATTGGTGGTGGTGGAGGGGAGACCCAATTACCTGTAAAGCGCTTTGAGTGGAGTGTCCAGAAAAGCGCTATATAAGTGTAAGGAATTATTATTATTATAAAGCATTAATATAATGCCCAGGGTTAGTGCATATACTGTATGTGTGAACTAGGTTCAAATATACTTAGAATCATTGGCATAATGCATTATATTTTACCGATGGGCAATATTAATATATTACCAGGCTGTTTGATGGATTCTAATTAATTGTAATCTTCCAGGTTTCTCCTAGATTAAAGTCTGTGGTTACGATCAATGTTTAAGTAATAGCTAGATGCAAGTAGATATTTTTCCCTTTCAACTATTCATATTGCATACAATGTCCAAAATATGTTCATATTTATTTAATCCTTCAATATATAGTTAATATAGGTTGTTAAGAAAAAATGAGATTATATTAAAATATAATTTATCCCTTATTGACCTTATTGTAATATCGCAATATGTCACATTGTTATATTTGAACATTACAAAATAATATATTGACACAACATCAGTACAGTAGCTCAATGAGATCATATATATTTTATTTCCATTAGAAATAGTAAGTTGATAGTAAATTGAATAGTTGATTGTTATTGTTGTTGTTCATTGGGATTACAGAATACTTAGCTCATGTTATGTGATTTAAACCATCCAATTCTAGATGTTTGGCAATTCAGTTAGTTCTGTTAAAGTTTCTAAGATTTATATAAACAGCCACCCAAAAAGATTTTAAGTATTGCATGAGCTACAAAAGAGTTGACCAGGCTTATCATGAGTAATGAAGACCTCCTGCTTATTGAAGGCACCTGTCTGTAAAAGTTGTTAAAAGTCAGATTAATACAAAGAGTTCAGGAAATTGGCTTTGTTAGAAGCAGACCATGTACTGGAAGGTAGAGTGTGGTCACTGCATTGGCCCAAAGCCATCGTGTTACATCTTATCCATGTGCAGAATAAATTTCACACTGTAGCAGATATAGCACATATAATTCCAGGAAGAAGTAACCCACACTAAGGCAAACCATCTTCATGAAGCTTTTATCAATGTTTGAGGCCATTCAACTTGATGACAGCAAAACAAAGAAATTGCCATTTTTTGTGATCTGTAGAGCATCTGAGGGGGCATTCAATTCCATTGAATAAAAAACTCCACCTGTAGAGGAGTGAAGTGTTTTATCCGATACTAATGCCATTTTGCACTTAACAGACCTGACAAAATACAGCATGTGGGGATAAATTGTGAGTTCTATGCTGATTGTTGTTACAATGTTACCTTAACTAAGTCCTTGAGTCAATGGTGTTTCTGGTCCTGCAAATCAATCCTGAATCAATCCCATTGACCACACACAGTTCAAGGATTACAATGAATGAGAAACAATGTAATGGTCTCCTCATGGCTAGCTTTTTCTCCTGTCTTGAGTTCAGCAGAATGTGGAACCAGCTCGCCAGTAGGGACCGAGTCACCTTAGTGATCAACAGGCTGACAAAAGTGGCTGGTGTCACGCCCTCTGCAGCCAGAGGGCGCTCCTTCTCTGTCCTGTCCCTAGTTTCCGGTCTGCTGTCCTTCCTGTCCCTCTCTTTCCCTTGGGCTATATATTTCCGGGT